AAATTAATTAACACCAAAATTGGAGGGAGACTGCCACTAACAACTCTATGCACAGATCTAGAAGGGGAACCATTTTAAGAAAACTCTTATCACTGTCACATCATATTGTAACACTACTACTGCACTACTGTCTGTATGTCTGGAGCTTGTAGCAATTTTAGCCATTTACTGTTTGAAGCTGAATTTACACTGAATCATAAACATTGTTCTGTTATTCCTCTTCAAAAGTTTCCTGTGATTGAACATTGGATGTTCCAAAAAAGGAATTTTTCAATACCTAAATTGGAAATATTTTCAGAGTTTAATTTTGCATTTTAATGCTTGTTGGTCCAAAAACTGATTATTTTATGTTCCTGTTGATCAGTATTGCAGTTGTGGCTCTTGTAACATGCTGAACAATTACTTTCATTAATAACAGAAATAGAACATTTACCAAACCTAAAATATTTATTTTTATTATAATTTTTTATTTTTATTTTGATTACATGAAACACAGACAATAAGCCTGTACTCAAACTTGAGAAGATGGAACCAGCAAATATTATGATTGGTAAATAATGTAAACAACTAATCAATCATTAAAATTAGTGATAAATATACTGCTGATCACATAATTAAACGAATAAACCGACCAGGTGTTTCGTGTGTGGTTAAATGTCTCAGCTGCACATTGTAACACTGAGAGGAGTTCAACACTCCTTTTATAAAATTCTGCATATCATATCTGTTTCAGAAAATAATAGAACTTGAAATTCTTCATTTAATCTCTGCCTGAAGGTTTGATTGAGTCAAATTATTAGCACTTTGTCTGCTCTGCCAGTCACCGTTTCAGTTACTGATGTCAGTCTGTGTCAAGCCCAGAGATAAACCTGATGACATCACTTTAGCCCGTTTTCCAAAAAACTCGCTAAGACCCGCTAACATCGGGCTTTTGTCGGCAATGAAAAAGGGTTCAATCGTCATTCACACCCGGGTATGACTGCAGTAGACAGGTATTTATCGGCTCCGATTGGCATTGATGTAAACACAACAACCGGGTAAACCCGCTAATTTTCACCACTTTTCCTGCTGTAACGTCTTTTAGAGCACAGACTGTAGACAGACCTGTCACCTGTCGAGCACGATGCTGTTAAACCACAAACACCGCGGCTACACTGCAAGGTGATGAAAGAGTGAGCAAAATAAGTTTTCAAAACACACAATCACCGATAGAAGCGTCTCATGTAACAGATCTGTTTTAACAGTTTACACAGCGGCTAGCAGCTCACTGTTCTTCCCCTGCGTCTGAGTGTGCTCTGTAAATGCATGTGATGACATCACTCCTTGCAGTTGTGTGCGTAAGGTCCGAACAGAAAGACAAACTCGACTGGCAGTGGAAAAGGTGTCAATCGGCTTTTATTACCGGGTTTACATGCTTATACCTGCTAATTTAGGTGGGAATAGGGTATGTGACATCATCAGTGTTATTTTATCCTCTAAAGCTACAGAAGACGTTATACACCTGTTTTCACAGGCTCAGAAGCATTAACAATGACAGTGCCACTTCATTGTTATTTAAATTGTCCTACTCATGGATTATTAATTGCAGTATTTTTTGTGGTCATGAAAAGTTAACACTAACAAAAATCATTGTTTCCACCAGGGTGAAGTATTTATTCATGTCTAAATAATACATTTTGCAAATATGCGGTCAGATGAAGTGCAGTAGATAGGAAAAGAACAAAAGGTGCACCATTCAATTGTCAAAAACGCTAAAATATTACACAGCATTCAACAACAATCATTTTGTGACATCAAGTCTTATTTAGAATTTCTTGTCATTGCCTTTATTTGATAGCGCACTGTTGTCCTCTCTGGGCTCCCACAGTTTTCTAAAGAACACATTCTACTCACTCAAGTCTTTCAACTGCCAATGAAAGATCAGGTTTATACACAAGTCACATGTTTTATAAAACTTTTAACACTTTTGCCACGTAGCAGGTGCCATAAAGAATATATGTTCTGCGGGGTAAATATTTATTATGTTATTAACAGCTTCTCAAACAGATTAAGTATTGATCAGTAGAGGGTTTTTTTTTTTTTAACCTGTTTTCACTCTTTAAGAGCACCTTTTAAATATTCTCCAAACATAACAGCACACAAACAGCCTTATGTCTTCATTTAAACACAGATTTTTATTATTGATATTGTTTTATTCTTGTTATTTTCAGAGGCACAACAGAATATCTCAGACATGTCTTGGTTTATGTTGAATTAAATTCAATGTTTGCTTTGAAAGAAGGATGATTGTAAAACAGCTCCTGACCTTTGAAAAATAAATGTATTTTGTAAATGCTTTCAGACTTTGTATTCACTTCAAGATGTTACACAGGATAAAACAAGGCCAAAGCAAATTTTTCCTGATGCCTGTTGGACTCAGACATAATCAGGCTGATATTGTGTATTGTGATCCATTAAACTGCAGGATGTTGTGTAATGTGAAAGTAGTCACTTATAGTCATGAACCTATACACTGTAAAACATGACAAAGGAAAGTTGTGGTATGAACTAATCTTTTCTTGTTAACTTAATGTAAATATGTAAATTTTGTAAATTTCAGGTTAATTCAACTTGACTTTAGATAGATAGATAGATAGATAGATAGATAGATAGATAGATAGATAGATAGATAGATAGATAGATAGGGGAAGGTTTACACTGGGAAGCTTTGGGATGCACTCATCTTTCTCTGATGGAAACTGGAAAGTCATTGATACCCAAAATATTTCAGAAAAATATTGGAATTAAATCAATATTTATCTAAAAGATAATTTTATACAGGTAGGTGTGTGGGCAATGACATGGCCCTCATCACATTCATGGCATAGTGAGCTTGTGAAAGAAAAAATCACCTCCATGCTTCTTTGTCAACATGTTTTTATTTGCCATCTTATTCTAATTATAACCTTAATTTTCAAATATCAAGTAAAATTTAAAAAAAAAACTTGTCCTGTTTTCTCAGGTACACAGTGCCAGGTTCATTCCAAAATACAATGTAACCTCTAATTTCATCATATGTGTGTGAAAATAGTTAAATGTCTTTGAGGTAATTTATGACTTCATGGAACACATGGAACTGTCATTTGTAGGTTTGTGGCATTCCATCCATCCCGGGCTCAAAATGATGCTACAATCGTTTGGGAGTGTGGTTTGGCCCAATCCCAATGTCCCCCCTAAATCCTAGACCCTGAACCCTCACAGACTTAAAGGTGTAATGTGTAAGATATGGCCGGATGTGGTCAGAATTTTAGTTTGTTAAAATGTTCAAAAAAATTAACTAACACTATCAATAGTATGTGAAGGAGCCACAGTGATGGTGTCATGACCAAGACCTCCATCTATTGTATTTCAGAGATATCTACTGAAATGAGCATGCTAACCAACTAGCCGTGTCCCGGGCCGTGTTGTAATACCACTTTATAACACTAAATGCTGCGAGTTAGTGTAGCATCTAGTCTGCCCTCATTCACACGAAGAAGAACTTCCTCCAGAGCTTGAAGTTACGCTACAGCTCCCAACTAAAAAAAAACCTCCCAACTAGCATCACAGAAACGCAGAGATGTCTGAAGCACCTAGAAAGCAATTTTTATCTCCATCCCAAAAGGACACTCCAACAAGAAACCACATTCAATGGCAAAGTAAAGAAGAAAACATTAGAAAATCCTGGTGTTTTTTTTCCACTGCTGGAGACAGCTCCGGGTAAAGAGATGTGGTTTGATGCCGAGCTGCAACTTTTCTTTTACACTGGTGAGTAAAATCTAATGTATGTCTGTAGCGTAAAGTATAATTATTGCAAATGACAAACGCTTTAGGTGGCATAAATGTATGATTGATGATGTTGACAGATGTTTTAGCGATTTAGTAGAATTTAGCCTGTTCCTGTGGCTGTTTTAACCAGCTGGATGTGTCCTAACATGTTTGAATATGAAGAACATGTATGATCTAAACTGATTGTCCTATCACGTTTGTCCGTATCAGGACCAGAATTCCAGTCCAGTCATCCCCAGTGATGTACCAGCACCTGCCTTTTCTTCTGCCTCTTGCCTCATCAATCATCAACAACCACATTACAGTAACACCTTGGAGTATTATTCCTGCACATAAGAGATATTGTTTAGATCTTTTGCACATCCTGCTCAGCAGTTTTTTCAACACTTTTGTACAGTTTTTTTCGTTGTTGTAATTAAAAACCTACCTGGCAATAAACCTTATTTTCTGATTCTGCCTTTGTGATGATGTCATCATCCCCTTCCTCATGCTGCTGTAGCCTGACATGCAGTATCCCCTTGCCTTCATATTTTTATAGGTAAATAAAACCACACTGTATTACATGTACTCATAATTTGTTTCAGTTCTATCAACAATTTTAACTATCAACAACAAATGCACATATAAATAAGAAATTATAAAGAACATGGGGAAAACAACAACATGATTAACTGGAGAGGGGAAGAGGTGAAATGCTGCCATCCATGGAGGTGGATCAAGTAGCACGATCTTACACGTTACACCTTTAATTGACGTCACCTGGTGAGTCATTGCGTGAGAGGCTGCAAGGGCTCAAAATGGTATAAAGAGGAATGGGACAGCACTTATATCATGTTACCTTGACGATGCCAAAACATTTACATTCAATTGTGGCTTTGGGACTTTTAATTGTTCATTTTTATTGCCTCCCTTTGCTGTTTGTATACAAAAAAAATGATGTTGGATCAGACCTGATCTGGCTTTATAACCTCATTTAAGGGTCATTAGTTTGGAATTACACTCAATGTGGTTGACCCTTCACACGAACGCGCAAACCTGGTGAGAGTGGGTAGGGGGAGTGTGTAGGGGCAAGATTGGAATTGGGCCTTTGACTTTTCACTGAAACATCCGGGTTACCTGCAGGAATGCAGCAGGTTGGGCTGGGGTTAAACACCTGAGGTGGGCGGAGCTTCATTTCTGTCTGACAGAAAAAACACCGACCTTTGAAACTAGCAGGGAGGGAGAGAGAGACAGAAAGCAGATACATTAAGAGCAGAATGGCTACAGATTTCACTCAGGACGCGGTGTTACATTTCCTCCAGAGCAGCGGAAGCTCGGTGAAAAACTCGGATCTGCTTCTGCACTTCAGAAACTTCATACGGAATCATGCAGACCAGGATCGAAACCGGGAGCTCTTCAAGAAGTTCGTCAACTCCGTGGCGACTGTCAGACAGCAGGACGGCGTCTCTTACGTCGTTCTCAGGAAGAAATTCAGAAGACACATCCCGGGCGACGGTGGAGGGGGCTCTTCCGGGCCGCCACGATTCCCCGGCGGGAGGAACACTGAGCTCTCCCCGGAGAGCACCAACCTGAGCCCGGCTATGTGCATTGAGAAGCCTAGACTGAAACCACAACTTAGGGGGGCGACAACACCCGCCCCGCCGGGAGAAACCTCAAAGAAAACAATCCTACCTGCGGCTGGAATCATATTCAACAACAACAGCAACAACAACAACGTGGAAACGAATTTGAACCTGAAACAGCAACAGGTAAACAGCACATTTGAACAGATCTCTGTGAAAACAGAACTGGATGAGCCTCCTATTCCAAATCAGTGCACTAAAGTGGCAAAGCAAGGGGTGGGTTTTGGCCTGCTTCCTGGGATCACACCAGTGGTGCCTGCAGTCAGACATCATGGAGAAGCCAGCCAACAGGTCCCAGTCCCTCAAAGCCTCAGAGGGAGGGAAGCCTGTCTGTGCGCTGAAGGAGGTCTTCATCAAGAGCCTCCTCTTCATACTCAGGTTGCTCCACGCCGCTTCAGACACAGGCAGAGCTACAAATCAGCTGTTTCTTATGATGAAGATGAGGAGGAAGAGGATGAGGTCACAGTGAGGCAGGGTTCAGCAGGAGGACTGTGGCCCCCGAGTGCTCCTCTAGGAGACACAGGGAGGGCCATCTCCGCCTCCTTGCCATGCATCATAGACACACCTGTACCTCCCTCAGTTGTCTCCTATTCCTCCTCCTCTTTATCAGAAAGGAATCTCCCGGAGATTTACATCCAGGATGTGGAAGTGCTGTCCCCTCGTGACCCGGGTTGGAGCTTTCAGTCAGGGATAGGGCTGAAAGGACAATGGATGGGGACAAGGCTGGAACACATGTCTGTATTGGCGGAGTCAACATCGATCAGACCCAACCAGCCTTCAGAGGCAGTGCGCTACACATCATCTCCAGGCCGAGCTAAAGAGGCTTCGCCTTACCACAATATCTACCTGGACTGCCAATACTCACAGGCCTCAGGTGTTCAGCTTGAACCAAGGCCGGGGCTTCATCAAAGCCAAAGGTCAGAGCTGTCATCTAGCCCCAGCCTTATCCTCTCCCCCGCATCTCCTGTTAGCTTCTCCAGCAGCGAATGGCCACTGTCTGGCTCCTCCAGAGGATCAGGGTGGAACAGCAGCTATGAGGATCTACAGGACAAAGCAGGTACGGCAACAGTCTGTGTATCAATATTACATATTGTGTCCTACCGCCAGAAAAGCTCACTGGAGCACCAAGGTGTATGAATCCACTGCTGTAAATAGTCCAAACTATGGCTGTACAATATGCAAAAAAAGTAAAAAATTAATGATCATTTTTTCATTCCATTTTCACTGAAAAAAATATAAAAATGATGTGATTTTCGTTGGACTTGTACCAAACAAACATGTTCCTTTATGTCTTGAGAATATGATTTGTAGGTCGGGGCGTCTCTGTGGCACCACAACACCCATGGTGCTAACACCACAACAATGTTGTGACACATTTTACCTTTATCAAAAAAAAATGCAGTTCCTAGGATTTGGATATAGAGATTTTGATTATATTTTGATCAACTGTACAGCCCTAGTCCAAACAGGTACACAGTTTACTCTTGTGTGAGTTGTATTTGCTAAAATCTACAGTCACCAGCTGTTGAAGCCAGACTGTCAATGTTAAAGGTAACATGTACATAACACAATGTTGCAAGAACTTTGAATAAAACACTGTCTAAAATATTTTGGTATTTGGCTGGTTTTGATCAGTGCTAAAGAATTATTTCAGTAAGACAATATCAAAAAGTACTGATGTTAAACATTATATATATAAATATATGAAGACATGTAGCTCAGACACCAAAAGATATGTTTTTTTGCTGTATTAATCTTACAGTGTAGTAAAAAGGACCAATATTTTTGCACAACCAGGACACAACAGGATTCTTGCGATAAATGCTTACAAGGTCCTCCCCTTATATTTGAGGTTTTACGTCCACTATTAAGAAAGTTTGACTTTTTTCCCTTGAAGAACAACAAATGAAAAGGTTTTCATAAGCTGTATGTACATTGTTTTGTTGCTGTTTTAGAGAGCAGAAATGGACTAGAAATAGTATTAATTGTTATGTGTCATCAGGTGAGACTGGGCACATGGCTCAAATCCAGGAAGTACTCCAGGGAGCCCAAGGGCCAGCAGGCCATCTCCGTCTCCATGACGACCAGGATCTCACTCTTCAGTATCACTCCAATGCCCATCTCAACAACAACCAGGACCCTACAGTTCGAGTGTTACCATGGCACCTCTCGACAGGTCAAAGCTTTTTCTAATGATCTTTTATATAGTGAATGAGCTGTTAGTCATAAGCTGTTGGATATGACATCTGACAGGTCATACTGTATGTCTGTGATCATAATAATATTAGTATGCTCTTTTATTTAATAAGCCATAGATTTGAAGAGGGGAGACAAAAAGAAGATTTTTACATAAACTACCTATCTCCATTACGGAATCAGAATTTTTTGCCTCAAAATATGAGCTATTAACAGTTGTGCTCAAACTACTAGCTGATTGATCAACAATTTGATAAGTGATTGTTAGTTCATTATTATTTATTATTAATTATTAATTTTCTCTCCAAGAGAAAACTATTCACATGAACACAGCTGAATAATCAAATGAATGGCAATTCAGTCTGATGGGCTACATCCATGTCATCAGTTGCTGACACACTAACATGACACATTAACACAAAATATAGCATTAAACATGTCATTCCCAATGTTAGCATAACATTTTACAGCTATGATAGTAAGTACAGCAGACATTGCTGACAGCATTAGCATGTTGCAACATGAGATAACTACTACATACAGTATATGAAAAGTAAAGGACTTCTGATATTATTAATCTTTTGCAACATGCCCGTTACATGTTCCAACAGCCTCTTGTGCTGTTATTGCTAAAACAGTAAATACTGCTGCAACATATCTGTTACATCGATTGTACAGCTGTTGTGTAGTCTGTTGTAACATAGGGAAGCAAGAAAAGTGAAAGTAGACAGGGTTTGAACTTCTCTGTTAAGTGCTCTTCATCATTCTTCACACAACTACCTCTTTGTTTTGTGTGTCCAACTGTGTGAGACACCATAAATGCCTTTTAAAGAGAAGTGTACACTGTTATTCACATTTGCCTACATCATCATCGCTCTCAATAAAGTTATTTGACGTGGGGTTGTGTGAGGTATAGTCAGTGGTATTACCTGCAGTAGAGTCGGATTAGCGTGCTGCCAGTTTGGAGAGGCAGCTGGAGCACTGGCACAGAAGCTGAACGATGTGCTACATTTTTTCAACCGTTGAACTACCGTATTCCTACACACAAGCACAACTACGCTTAGCTCTGTGCATATGATTTATTTATAGAAATTTCAACACAATAAACACAAATACAGTAATACAGTATACAATCCCCACATGTATAACTGAATAAATGAAATAAAAAAAATGTAAAATGAGGTAAACATTGGCATAGGAAGTAATGACAAGAGGATTGCAATAATACAACCACAAGAAAGAGAAAAATAAATAAATAATAATAATTAAATAAATAAAACAGAGACAAAGTACAAAAATACATCCCAAAAAGAAAACAAAACAGACAAACTATATATTACCAGCATGAGGAAAACAGGAGGTAGCCATGAGGTACAGTTATATCAGTACAGTACAGGGTGTGTACTGTCAGCCAATTGGAGGGACCTGACGTGTTCTAAGAAGGGCAGCCAGATTTGAGAGAATTTAACATTAGAGCCACGAAGAGAGTGTTTAATTTTTTCTAATTTCACAAAATGTAGGGTATCCTTTTATCCAATGAGTATGAGGGGGGGGACGAGGACTCTTCCAGTGCATCAGTATAACACGCCTCGCCAGCAGTGTGAGAAAGCTACAAGTTCAACAAAGTGAGACGGCAATGAATAGTCAGTGGTTAGAACACCAAACAAGCCAACTAGGGGTGAAGGATGAATATTAACAGATGTGATGGATGAGCGTGAGTCAAACAGAGATGTCCAATGCAGAGATAGAGTGGGACAAATCCAAAACATGTGAGAAAGAATAGCTGGTCCTAGGTGACATTTATCACAATTTGGATCAGTGCCAGAAAAGGATGCGAACTAGTTTGCTTTTAGACCAGTGGACGACTTTTCATTGGTAAAACGCTGTGATGGGCACAGATTGATGATGTGGACATGTTTCAAAACTGATTGCCTCAGTCTCTATGTCCATATTGAGATCCTCAGACAACTTTTTTACGTTTTACAGGTGAATTCAGGCCTTTGACATTCCAACTAGTAAATCTTAAAGCACCTGTTGGTGCTGCTGAAGTGTAAGAACTTAACATATAATGATACTTTGGGACCTGAGCAGGTGGCATTCCTGCACACTTCTATCCCTGTGACTGGCACCGTCTGTTGTCTAGCAGTACATAGAGAGAGGGACATGACTGAGTGGAGTTTGTTGAGTAAAGAAGTAGCACGCTGGTGGAAAAAATAGAAAACATGAAAAAAAGAACTAAATGGAAACCCCTAACTGAGAAAACATTAAACATATAATCCAACCCCCTCCCATCCCTCCCCTTAACTCAAACCCAAGCCCAGTTGCTGCAAAAGAGCACTTAAGATCACGCTGATATACCTATGAACAAAAGTTGAACCTTTGTAAATACCTCAAACGAAATGCGTCTGGCATATACACGTGTTTTTCCTTTTTAAAAGCATTGAATTCTCTATTGTAGTAACCTGTTGGAAATATGCCTGAAAAGACTATGTTGATCTTACAGAAAATAGGTGCCTAAATATATACATATACGCTCCCTCTGGATACTCACAAATTCACAAATAGTATAAAAATACATAACTAGTAGTCTGGGAAATGACTACTGTAAAGCAGTGCCAAATAATCTCCCTTCAAAATAAAGGAGATTAATAGTCTAATAAAAAGTCCAATAAGAAATACTGACTGTGAGAAAAGCACAATTAAGATGCTGTTAGTGTCTGTATGGTAAACAGCCCATTAAGAGGAGAGGCATGGTAATAAAAAAAATTTAAGTAAATAAAAAGAAAACAATGAATGGCACTGCACTAACAATAAAAGGAGAGTGTGTCAGTTAACATGCCGACAGATCTGTGTCCAAGCCCTGGACAAACTTGACAGCCTCCGAAGCAGACAGGAGCCAAGTCCTGTCCCCATTAGGTAGGGTGATGTGCAGCTTGGCTGGGAAGAGCAGAGCTGGCTTGTACCCGCACCTATACAGCTCAGCCATGGGGTCTCTGTATTCTTCAACACGTCAGGGCTGTAGTCGTCATAAAAGCGGATCTCATGGCCTTTGTAGGTCAAATCACCCCACTTGCAAGCCTCGCAGATCGCCTGGTCTTTAACTTGGAAGTGGTGGAAGCGCAGGATGACAGGTCGTGGCCTCCCTCCCGAAACAGGTTTGGTTGCAAGGCTCCGGTGTGCTCGGTTTAACTTGGGGTGTGAGTCCGTGCCGAGGACATCTACAAGAAGTTGAGAAAAAAACGTGGATGGATGGGGCAGCTTCTGCTGATGCCCTCCAGGTCTGCATCATTGTAAAATTGAAATGATGCGCTGGCAAGTGGCAGAAAGTTTGCGTAGCTCGTAGTTTTTTTGCAATATATTTGTATATTATATGTATATTAGTATATTTTTTTGTTGATTGATGTTTTTTATTCTACATCGTTGTTTCGTCTGACTATGTTGAAAATAATGTACACAAAGGAAGAACTCCTGGCTTTAAAGTGTACCAGATATGGAGTTAAACATCCCATACCGGCTGAGCTGAAGTAGCCGTAATGTAGATGGCTAGGATATGGAGATATAAGCCTTTTCTACCAACGATCCTTATGGGAAATGTCAACTCCCTGGCTAACAAGTGTGATAAACTGGAGGCACTTGTGAAGAACCAGTGAGCATATTGTGAGTGTAGCCTCATGTGTTTCACGGAGACCTGGTTAAATGACAACACTCCTGACCATTGTGTGGATTTACGCGGCTTCACTGCAGTACAAGCGGACAGAGACGCTGGAGCAAGTGGGAAGAATAAAGGTGGAGGACTGGTTCTGCTTGTGAACAATAGATGGTGCAACCCTGGTCACATCACAGTGAAGGAGAAGATCTGCTGTCGGGATATTGAGCTGTTGGTAATTGGTCTTAGACTGTACTATGTACTGAGGGAGTTCTCACACATCGTTGCCATTGTTGTTTACATCAAACCACAAGCAGAGCTTGCAGTTGCGTGTGATGTCATTCACAAGACCGTTGCGAGAGTACAGACCCAGCACCCTGATGCATTCATTGCAATATCGGGGGATTTTAACCATGTCACTCTCACCTCTCATCTGACTGGCTTCACTCAGTATGTTGACTGTCCCACAAGGGAAAATAAGACACTGGATCTGTTGTATACAAATGTCAAGGAGGCCTACACTGCTTCAGCTCTACCACCATTTGGCAGATCAGATCATAATCTGGTTTTTCTTCAGCCTTCCTACAAGCCCTGTGTACTGAGGCAGGCTGCAACCATCCGCTCATTCAGGAACTGGACCCCGGAGGCCAGTGAGTGTCTAAAAGACTGTTTTGAGTTCACAGATTGGAATGTCCAGTTGGAGTCACAGGAAAATGATAAAAGCAAACCTGACCTTGATAGAATGGTTGAATGTACCACAGACTACATTAACTTCTGTATGGACACAGTAATACCAGCAAGAACTGTACACTGCTTTCCAAACAACAAATCCTGGATCACAGTGACATCAAGACCCTCCTCAACCAGAAAAAGGAGGCCTTCAGGGATGGAGAAAGGGAGAAGCTCAGGTGTGTGCAACATGAGCTGAAGAGGAGATTAAATCAGGCAAAGGAGGACTACAAAAAGAAAGTAGAGAGGAAGCTACAGCACAACAACACCAGAGAGGTGTGGAAGGGGATGAGGACCATCACTGGCTATAAGGACAACAGCCAGGCAACATCAGGTGATGTGGACAAGGCAAATGAGTTCAACCTGTTCTACAACTGGTTTAACATAGCCTCACTTGTTCTCTTTCCCACTGCTTCAGCTGCAGCTTCTCCTACGGCATCTCCTCCACAACCTGACACTGCAGCTGCAACTCCCTCCACACTGGGAACAAGTCTGGTGTCCTTTACAGCAGAGGAGTTGAGGGCGGAGGTCAAGAGGCTACATCCTAGAAAGGCAACAGGCCCGAATGGTGTGTGTCCGAGGCTGTGCAGCCCAGCTGGCTGAGCCTCTCCAGACGATCTTTAACTTAAGCCTTCAAACAGGGAGGGTCCCGGTCCTGTAGAAAACATCATGTCTTGTTCCGGTACACGGTAGGACAACCGTGTAGCGTTAACACCATAATTTAGAATTTACTCTCGTTGAAATGGGGCACCAGTATTCTGGGAGGACAACAATGAATTACGTCATTGATAAATCTTTAACTTAAGCCTTCAAACAGGGAGGGTCCCGGTCCTGTAGAAAACATCATGTCTTGTTCCGGTACACGGTAGGACAACCGTGTAGCGTTAACACCATAATTTAGAATTTACTCTCGTTATCAATCTCATATCAGAAGCCATGACTTCTCGATTCTATGGATCTCCAGTCTCTACGTCAAAAGAACACAACAGGACAACAGCTGGGTGTAAATAAAGGAGTTTATTAACTAAACTACTATCTAAAGAGTAAATGCAAGGTGTAATACTCATAAACATAAAAATAATAATGAAATGAGCTGTGTGATGAGTTGACAATGGTGGAAGAGCATATGTTAGGGCTATACATTATGGCTATACAGCTAATGATACTATGTCTATGAATGAGATTTGATGATTAAATATTACTATATTTTGACATCCACCCAGTCATGAGCAGAGTGTTAAGACCAGCATAATGTGAGTTGCGCTGTAGCTGAGGACCCTTGGCTGGAACCCAGGTGGCTGTGGTTGCCGTAGTGACCCTGGAGACGTGGGATCTAAGTGGATTCTCCTGGAGGCTGTGTCCAGTTATCATGGTGACAGATTCTACTGGTGTCTCAGCGATTCAGCTCTAGTGGAGCTTGCCAGGAGACTTTCTGTCTCTGGCACTCTTGATTTTTGGTAGGTTTCTCTGCAGGCAGTTGTGGTCAGATGTGTTATCTGCTGGCGTCTCTTGCGGGTTGATGCAAAATAAACTCTAATGCACTTCACTTTGGCTGGATAACTTTAGAGGAGACTGGCGTTGACCAGATGACTCTAAAGTTGTCAAAAAGCTTCAAAAAGGAATACTTGATAATAATTAAAAGCAGCAAAATTACTCTGAGGCACTTCTGTTGTTCTGGTTCAGTTGGTCTTGACTTGGCTTATAAAAATAAAAGATCACGTGTGTAGACAAAATAATGTTACCTGGTGCACGTGGCAAAGAAAGAATAAAGGACGCGGACAAAACGATAAAATGCAAAAATGGCTAAGAGCCTTGGCTAAGAGTTTGGAACTACATAGCTACAGAGCGATTGAGCAGGGTTTTTTCAGCTTCTAGCAATTGTTTTATCCCCTGAGGGCTGGCGCGCGTTTCAGGGGGTCACCCGTCTTCTTCTTCTTGGAGAAGAGAGTAATTGTCCACGGAACTTTTGAATAGTTTAATTCTAGAGTTTACCTATAAACTCACACATTCGTCTTCCACCATGACCATAAAACATTAAATGACATAACATATAAACCTGATGGCACTAATAATGACAGACAGGAGTAATACAAGTGTGGATTTCATATTACATCCTTCAAACCTGGAATTAATCTTAATACAAGTGGTTAACTGATCAACTAACAATATAAACATTTCCTGAAGCTAATAGTCTACAAATGTGGATTACACAGCAGTTCTTTGACTGTAATAAGAATAATACAGACATTCTGGATGTCCTGTAGTGTGTGATACCTTGTGTGAAGGATGCTGACAGTATGGTCACATGAAGGACATTTTCCTAAATCTACATGTTACATTTCAAACATTCTATAGGATAGAAGTTTGGGATTAAACTATTACATAGAAACATCTCATGAGTTACAGAACAGTTAGATATTTAATTATATATTCTTCCTCAGATCTGTGTCTGTGAAGAGTTCTGCTGGTCACTACCCAGGATTGGAATGTGGGTTGTAGTTTATGACTCTTATCTAGAGAGGGACAGAGGAAGGGAGGTTGGTGTGTGTGTGTGTGTGTGTGTGTGTGTGTGTGTGCGTGTGTGTGTGTGTGTTCATGCATGGCACAGAGAGGCCAGGATTCACACCTTAGTGATACTCAGTCCTTTTGGTGTTATTTGTCCTATATAAGGAACAATCAAATATCAATAGACAGAGTCTTATTGTTACAAACTGGAGATTTTGCCTATATTCTCCAGTTGCCTGGTGTCCATTTGTTAATCCTCTGGAGCTGACCCTTTGACCTTTGGTCTGGTTCTGTGTCTCTCTGGCATGCTAAAAGCATGGACTGTTGAGAGAAGGGTCCTTTGTCACTGTTTCCGATCAATTTGATAGTTTGATGGTGGGAAGAGTAACAAAGTGTCAATTGTGGGTCTGTAACCCTGCATGTCCTTACAATGAATTTCCGTAATGGCTTGTGACTGATGCCAGGCCAGGTATGTGCGCTAGAACCGGCTGAGATAAATGACTACAGACCCTCACATCACACATCATGAAAACCCTGGAGCGGCTGCTTCTCGACCTTCTGAGGCCATAGGTTGAACATGATCTAAACCCCCTACAGTTCGCCTACAAAGAATATATTGGAGTGGATGATGCCGTCCTTAACATGGTCCACGGGGCCCTTTCTTACTTGGATGAGCCAGGTAGTTACATGAGGATTATATTCTATGATTTCTCAAGCGCATTTAACACCATCCAAACCCCCATCCTTAAAGACAAGCTGGAAGGGATGGGGGTGGATCACTGCTTCACATCCTGGATTGTGGATTACCTGACAAGATGACCACAGTATGTCAGGCTGGGTAACTGTGTCTCAGGGACAGTCATGAGCAGCACTTGGGCTCCACAGGGGAGTCGTGTCACATCAGAACCAGAAATACTCAGATGACACAGCTATTGTTGCGCATATCAGGAATGGGCAGGAAGAGGAGTACAGGGAACTGACTATGGCCTTCAGTGAATGGAGTGACAAGAACGGCCTCCTTCTGAACACCTCCAAGACCAAGGAGATGGTCACGGATGCCATCTACCGGAAGGGCAGAGCCATCTCTTTTTCCTCAGGAAGCTCAGGTCCTTTGACGTTGGCAGTGAAATGCTGCACATGTTTTATCAGTCAGTGGTGGCCAGTGTACTCTTTAATGCTGTAGTCTGCTGGGGCAGCAGCATGTCCGACATGAACACAAGGAGACTGGACAAGCTTGTCCAAAAGGCTGGGTCTGTGCTTGGCAGGAGTCTGGACTCACTCAGGACTGTTGTGGAGAGACGCATGCGATGTAAGATGGAGGCCATCTTAGATAATACCAACCATCTTCTCCACAACATTCTGGCAGGACAGAGAAGCACCTACAGAAGCAACCGTCTCAACTCACTGTGCTGCAGAACAGAGAGGTTCAGGAGATCATTTGTTCCCACTGCCACCAGGCTATACAGCACCTCAGCCAAAGGAAGTGGACTAATCTAATTATTATTGTTTATTTATTATTAACTTGATTATTTGTTATTATTATTGTTATTATTGTTATTATTATTATTATTATTATTATTATCAACAATGAGCTAATGGCCACATGAATTTCCCCTAGGGGATAAATAAAGTATCTATCTGTCTAGTTTTGAGTGACTCGTCTCTGCAAAGCAACTACGCTTAGCTCTATCTGACTCAAACAGCTGATCTGCGGAGTAATACAGAGCATGCTGTAGTTGCGAGGGTGCGCAAGAATACAACGGTTCACAAACTGTAGTTCCAAAAGAAAGGGCTTTTTGACAGATGACACATATGTTTGTAGCCTGGAGAAAGCATACTGAACCCTCTACTTCACCCCACAGGTGATCTCTATGATGACTGTGAGGAGGCAGAGTCGAGCGACGGCTCCACCTCTTCACCACTGCTGCGGCAGCGCCTAGCTGTTACCAAGCGGCTCAGCAGCCAGTTGAGGAACAGGATGTGCCGCAGCCTAGGGGCTGACCTGGACCAGCTCCTCCAGGAGGACGTAAGGGGAAGAGGAGGAAGTGAGGCGGCCCGACTGAACCGCCTCCACCTGATCTCCTCCTCACTCAGCCTTCGCTACAACCTCTCATCCTCATCACTGTCGTCATCTTCCACGCCGCCTCGCGGCCACAGCTTTGCTGACCTGGTTGAGGGGGTGGAGCAGAAAAGAAGGTGGAGGAGCCCCTCTGCTGCCGCCACCTCCTCTACCGCTCATTATGATGGCCCCAGTAGGCAGGTGAGACATATTAACAGAACAGTTTGTATTTTTAAATGTCCCATTCAAACCTACCGTGCACTCCTTGGTAGTAATTTGGCTGGTAAGGGAGAATAAGGTCCCACTTTCCATTTAAAAACAATTCACGAAGAGAATTTATGTGCAAAACTGTCAATCAGTGAGCCCTTCTGTCCTGTATGGAAATAGCTGTTATTGCTATTGAGTTTTTCACTGTATGTTGTCATAGACAGATTTTTTCTTTCACAGTGAACTTTTAGTATGATAAGACACAATAATACTTAATTGACTCCATGGAGGGAATTTAATAAATTGGATCTTTTTTCCTGCCATCAGTCGTTGGTTCCTCTAGAGCTCAGGGAGCACGCCTGGCTGGTGAAGGGGGCAGCAGGTGCCTGGCCTGACATCTACTCGTTGTTCAGAGAGGATTCGTCGCTGCTCAATAAACAAGACTTTATCTCCGGCTTCACTGTGCTGCACTGGATCGCTAAACACGGTGACCACCGAGTCCTCAACACCTTATGGTATGCAGCAACTGTTTTATTTATTTTAATGCCACCCTCAGGATAAACTTTACATTTATACCTCAACTGCTGCTATGGCTCTAAGAATAGGTAAATCAACAATGTGCTGTTTGTGCTGTCTAACATTGTCATATTGTAAATGAAAAAGGTTTATTCTCTGTATCGTAGCCATTTTAGGGCATCTCAAACTTGAGCTTGACAGGATCAGCCCTACATTTGTCTCAGTCTAATACTGAAGTGGAGTTTATTGCTCGTTAGCAAACATGTTGTAGTAAAGTCACCTAAGACTTTGTACCAAGAAGCACTTTAATTTGTTTATATCTGTAATCTTAAAGGCAAGGGACATACAGTAGAAGGATTGGAGAAATTACAGCGATGATCCTCTTCTCCTCAAATGTTTATTCATACCTGGTAAAGACTAACATTTATACTCCCCAAACAGTGACCTACTTTTAAACTTTTGGCATCTTGCATTAGCATTAATCTCAACATATAGCTGAGACTAACAGCTATACTTTGAGTCATTAGTTTTAGAGGTATCATGTCTATCATGTGTTGGCCTAATGGAAATATAGACCAGCTTGGGGCACATGAGGTAAAATCAGAACACCAACAAATTCATCCTCTGGAGACTATGAATGTCTGTGCTTAATGACTTTCCAGTCAATGGCTGGTGAGATAGTTCACTCTCACCAAGGGTCCAACATTCTAATGTAGGTGAAAAAAGAGCTGCCACAGATTTAGCCAAGATGAACTGTTGTCAAATATTCTGGAAAAACTAAATATATGAGAAACATTATGTGACCGGGCACTGATCTGCTCTCTGGCTGCGGTTTCAGGTATGGAGTTCAAAAGGCTGGTTTGATGTTTGACATAAATGCCAGGTCAACATGCGGCCACACACCTCTCCACATTGCCGCCATCCATGGCAACAAGAACATAATGCGTTTGCTGGTTAACAAGTTCAATGCTGACGTGAGGCTGAGGGATACAGCTGGGAAAAGGGCCTGGCAATACCTGAGCTGCAACACACCACTGGACATCTTCCAACTTCTGGGAGGAACAGCACAGACTGCTGTGGGAGGAGTCAGGAGAGTAGATGCCAGCTGGGAGCAACAACAACAGCAGCAGCAACGCCGCCGCCGTCGACTGTATCATCTCTCCTCAGCTTCTTCGGGAGAGAGGCCATTGACCATTGCAGGTACAGCAAGGGTTAAAAGGTCATCATCAATCGCTGCGTTCCTCAAACACAAATCACTGCGTCGGTTTCATGGACATCAGTCTGACTCCTCAGTTTAAAAACCTCAGATGATGTATTAAGTTGGATATGGATCTAACCACAACATAAACAAGATCAAAAAAGGCAAATTTTCCACTGTCAGATACTCCTCACACCATATGCTGATCCTTGACACTGGCATCTTTCCTGGCTGGCTTGCCTAAGTCATAAAAGGCAAGTAATTGCTGTGCCACAGATACCACTTCTCATTCAAACAACATTTCAGTGGCCATTGGTGTAGCTAGTGGTAAAGTTTATTACTGTCATGTGCCAACAAACCAAATAAAATACAGGTTAAAATTGTATTTAGTTTTGTGATTAAAATGTTGTCAGAATTCAACAGACTTAATATTTTAACCATACATAACATAACTGTTGTTAGCCCCACTAACTTCTATTATTATAACTATCTATTTTTGTATCTTCTCCTTACAAGGAAACTTCTAGAATAAAGGCCCAGTCCGCATTTACAGTATATTTGCAAAATTTTGGACCAAAATTAATTTCAGTTTCATTGCCACAATTGGTGTATTTGCTCACAGAGACAAAGTAAACTGCAAACTGTCTTGAAACTGCAAAGAGAACCAGAAAGTCAAGTCCATGGAGTAAGATATTGTATTAACTGTTTTGCATCTAATCTTAAGAGGCCTTTTAAGAATTGCCATGCAAAACAGGCATGGTTCAGCAGTTACATTGGAGTCTAGTTAACTAGCATGTTGCCAGTTAGCTTACCAGCTATAGTAACTTTATCAAACTAGCCCCTCTAGTAATGACATATCACCATTCATTCATTAAGCTTCTCTTCAAAGTTTACATCATTTATGTCACTGTGGATGCAGAAAACTGATGCAGAAAACTGATCTTCAGGTTTTAACTGCAGCTGAAAGTCTGCTCGCTGATCAGTCCAGATCAACAAAAGGGAGCACTAGTGTTTATTACTGAACTTTCAGTTTCACTAGCTATAAATGCCAAAAACGAGACAGTATCATTAAGAGTGCTGGATCTAATAAGTATGATAGCTTAAAGCAAGAGATGATTTGTCAGCACTTTGCAGAGCAGATGAGTTTTCGGCTTGTTTGTTGTGAGAGAGAGAAAAGGAGCAATAGGTGGAAGATTATGAGCTGCAATGCAACGTGAGCTCCAGTTTCACTCTGAAGCTGAGACATGGTTAAAAGCCAGTCAGCAAGCTTTTAACTCACATTTTGCACACATTTGACCTTTCTTTATATTGTTTCCAAATCATTCAATAGTTTTTAGATAGATTTTCTTCCCACCTTTAGGTATAGTTAATTTTTTATGAAAATTAACTTGCAGTGAATGGAAACTTACCATACATAAGTAGTGGACAAAATAAATAAATAAATACAATAAAATAGTCACTGCAATAGGTGTTTTAAGGTGGTGAGGCAATTTATAGGGTGATTGTGTTTTTTTTTTCAATATGCCTCATTTTGTAAGTTTTGTCTGTCATTTCTATCAGTAATAACTTTGTACTCACTAACTGACGTGGTGACGATGACATCACAAAAAGAAGTGCAACTTGTCCAAATCTGAGCTATAACATCTTATCAAGTGAGCCTAAGAAGTGCTAGTAGGCTGATTTTGTTACCTTTGGACAGAGCCACGGTAGCTGTTTCCCCCAGTTTCTAGTCTTTATGCTAAGCTAAGCTAACCATGAAACTGGGTGTAGCTTCATACTTACCATACAGATTTGAGAGTGGTGTCAATCCTCTCATCTAATGCAAATATGTGCATTTCCCAAAATTCCAAAGGATTTCCTTTAACGTGGTGAGTACAATTTGATTAGCACTGATAGAAACAAAAGTCAACCCACTAATAAGAGCTATGTTGAAATAAACTCTTACTTAATTTCATGGTGCTGTATAAAATTGCGTTTTGTTGTTGTGTTTTTGCTATTTTTTCCAACCCGTTTATGCACACAGTCATGTTATTGTCACAATCTCCTGTGTCACAGTTACACAAGTAATGCCCAAATTTGGATGATCCTTTCCGTGTTTGCATATTATCTGTCTTTGACAAAAACACAAAAACAAACCTTACATGATTTTCACACAAATCAAATGAAACCAGTGGATGTCCAGAAGGATGATCGACAGTCTTAAAATACTGATGGAGAAATATTGAAAATGATCAACAAGAATGAACCATTCTGGATTTGAAGTGAATAATGACATACTTAAGGATCAAACTGGTGCGTATTGGTTTATAAATTATTCTGGTCTGAAGTTTACCATAATTTGATGTTCTACAAGGTAAATGTACAGTATTGTTAAATGTATTTCAAGGTGGGGTGTCGTGTAGCGTAGTGGTTTAAGCAGGCGCCCCATGTGTAGAGGCTACAGTCCTCGCTGCAGTCGGCCCCGGTTCGAATCCCGCATCGGACGGCCTTTCACTGCATGTCATTCCCCCTCTCTCTGCCTCCCTGTTTCCTGTCACTCTCCACTGTGCTGTCCATTAAAGGCATAAAAGCCCAAAAAAATATACTTTAAAAAAAAAATGTATTTCAAGGTTGGAGATTACGATTTGTCATTTTTAAATGCTTGGTGTTTTCAATCAGGACCATTTTCATCAGACTATTTACAGATGATTTTTTCTTGGAGCCCTGAAACAGATAAAAGTATAGTGAAAAATAACCTTAATTGACTGTAAAAAGAAATGTAAAGCTTTGGTTTTCCATTTAAAAAAGCATTACAACACAGCCTTGATAAACTCACCTCACGCAGGGGTTTTGCCCAGCTAAAATTACTATGTAGCTGACATTTTTGTGTTGGTCCTTCTCCGCTATTGCTACTCACTGAGTTACAGGAAGGTTGCCTCATGAAAATGTCTTTAAAGCAGCAAACTGGAAAATTCTGGGGATTGAAAGGAAATTCAGTGTCCCATTATTGGCAAGTATAGGGTAGTTACAGTCTTTAATTGTTTGAGCCCCAAAAAATTAAGCTTTGGATTCTGTTAAAGTGTGTTTGTCATCAACACTTTTTTTGTTCCTATGTGGACAGACCCACGGGGTCGCAGTCACAGATTCACTGTGTGACAGTTGAGTGAACATGATTGAATAAATTGCAAATGTATCATGGAATTTGCACTTTTTTATAGTAAAGTATAAACAAAGATAATATAGTATAAATCACTTATCACTTATGTATTATTGCCTAAATCTGCTAATCTGTCTTGTAAAGAGGCTTTATGTCAAAATCTAGTTTTAAGACCTTTAGTACTTCAGATTATACTACTATTTTTCCAAAATATAATGTAATTTTGGTCCAAATTACAACAAGTTAACCAGCACACAGAAACAGGTAGGACTGGACTCCATCAAAGAACTGCTTGTTGGTTTCTGACCATGTGCACTGTAAAGATATAAAAACGCATATCTCAAACAATACCTCAGTGACATACTTTTTCATTAGATCATTTAAGAGGCATCAGTGGATCCACCCAGCAGTTATACCAACTAATATGTAAATCTTTCATGTTAACTTTCTTGTTGCAGGCTTGTGGACATGTTAGCTCATGTCTGTGTATGTGTGCTCTTGTACTGTGAGAACCAGTTTTTGACTTTGAGCCTGAGGACATTTTGGCCATTCCTCACTATTTCAAAGAGAGGTTGGTTAAAAAACCAAGGTTAAGACTTGGTTTTAGGGTTAAGGTGGGATTTAAGTTTAAAATACAGATTATGTAGGTCCCTCACAAGTATAGAAGGTACAAACGTGTGTTTCAAGTTTTTGTTTGAACAAGCTCAGTCTGCTGTGTACATTCTGAAACAGCCGGTTCAACCTGTAGTGGATCACAGTTACATAATGCTCTACAGTCTCTCTGTCTTATCAAATAATAAGCTTTAATGGCACGAACAAGTTGTTGAATATTAAATTTTTACATTAAATACAAAAAAAAACAATGAGGAATAATCACAAGATCACCAATATCTTAAAGAGTAGCAGTATTTATGATGGTCTCATAGGTCACAACACAGAAGAAAGACCCCCGCAAAAACTGGCAGTAATCAATTGACCTTCATGAAAGAAAGTAATTGACCTTTATGAAAGAAAATAACAATAATAAATGTATATATGGGTGATGTAATGTGCATGTTAGATTCCAAACAAATGTATGAGCCTTGGTGTATCCAACTGCCATCTGAGCAGGTGGGCTTTAATAGCTTCCAAGACAACTCTGTCTCCTAAAAATAATGTTTCTATACAGCAAAACTGCAACAGAGTCACATAATTGTGACCGGATTATGTTTTCTATTATCTATTATCTATGAGGAAATTTAATTTACATATTTGGCAAGTTGCAAATACGTAGATACTGATACAAATCAGTATTCAGTGTTCACAGACCAAAACATTTGATTTTGCAGTAAAATATTCACTTTTGGTGACTACAGCATTATTACGTTTTTTATGGCTCTGTTTAGACTCTCACAGCACTTGGTTAAGGTCAGCAAAATATCCTTTTCTGGTTTAATACAGAAAAGGTTCACAGTGAAATCAGGCATAAGGTGTTAATTACATTTAACCAAAACCACCATCTTATACTAACCTTAACCAAAGCGCTTTTGTTGCCTCCTGTGACAGTTGTGCACTTTGTGCACCCACCATCCACCCCAACCATTTCTTGTCACCTTCACTGCTGTTAATAACTGTAGCTCTTAATTCATTCAAAAAATATGCTGCTCTGAACATAGTCCAGCTAGCAATTACGTTTCTTACAAAACATATTTGTCATTGCAGTTTAGCTGAATAACATCTTAATTTTTAGTACTTACTGATCAACGTGTAAGCTGTATTTAAATGTTTAGGTCAAAACAATTGCAGCTTTAATTATTAATTCACTTCGTATCTACTCCTTTATTCTCATTTTCACAATACCTCTTTTTCAATAGCAGGGTTAACTTCATATTGGATCATCAGGCCAGATATCATTTCTGTATAAAAAAGAGAAATAAGAGTGACTTGTTGCCCTAACCCTAACTGATCTGGGTTCTGGGAGATTCAAAGTTAGAGTTGTATAACTGCCCATTATGATGGCAACATTCAAATTGACAGTTATCCAGGAGCCACCTTTTACAACTTCCCAAAGGTTTTGGATAAAACTTCCTGGTCTACCTTCCCCAACGTGGACATTTATTTTCCTCACCTCTCCTCCCACAGGACAAACAGGAAAACCTAGCAACCATTACCGGCCACTTCCCCTTCCTAAGGCCGCTGCCCGAAAGCCTTTTCAACACCACCTCAGATAACATCTACTGGACACAGGAAACTGCTAGGAGAATGTTTGAACACAGGTGCTCAGAATTGCAATTAAATTTATGATCTGCTTTCAGCACACACTTGGAAGAGGCATTGGTCGGATTAGTTTTGCAGACAACAGGTTATTAACCAGAGGTGCTTTCAAACAATAGCAGTACTATTTAACCCACATGGGGTAGCTATTACTCCGTTTTTGGACAGAATCATCCTCCAGAGCCAGAAGGTCACTCACCACACCTAGTCCAATTCTCTATCTCTATGTGAGAGAAACTTACCACATTCTTTTAGCAAGGCGAACACAGCATCTGTGTAACATTGAGGAGGGCAGACTGAGCACTCTGGCCCTCTGGTCAATCATTTTCAGATTCACCCTGTCCAACAGCTTTGCATCACTGGTCTCCAAACCTGTGCCACGTGAATGGTGGGCCAGACAAAAAGACATGAACGGTTATGGATTAAAAAAATTGAAAACCAAATTCCCCTTGGACTGAATTTGGGCTAATAGAGGGGATTCTATGATATACATATGGTCTGAATTTTGAGATTGATTGTGGAAATAGAGAAAATAAAATGTCAACATTTATGAGATTTTTCTGTGCTTCATTTTTGAAATTGGTCATATAATGTATATGAAAATACATATTATTTCTGGTAATTTTTACTATTATTTGTCTATTCTCCCACAAAAAAAAAAAAGATAATTAACCTACGTGGTTAACACTTACTGCCATCACACTCCACTCCAAAATCCATCTAAGTTTCCATCATTTCTTGGTGAGGACCTACAACACATCCAGACCCAATGCCAGAATATACATAGAAAATATGTGGGAGAATAAATATTTGTTGTTAATCTTTTTCCCCCTTCATTTTTCTCTTTTGGTATTTCTGTTGTTGGTCATAATTTTGCTCATTATTTTGTCCTTTAACTATTTCATAATTTAATGTTATTATCCAACATACAGCACTTACTTAGACCTGCAATCCTATGGATCCTGAGCTTCCACAACATTGTGTTTTTTTCTCATGCATTTATTATTTGAGGATTTCCACAAAACATTATTTCCCCTTCTTTTGTGTGTGATATTCTTGCATGTTGTGATCGCACTTATTTAGGGCACAGACATCTGTTGCCAGTGCACTGACTGGACCAACAATTGTGGCAATTTTAGAACCATTCTCCTCAACCTAACTTAGCCAGATGTCTGGGTGTCTTGTCACCCTACATTCCTTTATCATCACAGGCATAGCTCAACTAGATCCATTTCCTAACCCTAACCATCCTCTCCTTCAGGACCCTGAGGCACTCGTATTCAGACCACCAATCCATGAATCCTAACCCTAATCATTTTGAACCTAAAATGTATTTTCTATGATAGATATTTATTTATCCCCAAGAGGAAATTCATGTGTCTATTAGCTCATTGTTGATAAGAATAAAAACTTAACAATTAAATTAGTGAACTTCCGTATAGCCTGATGGAAGTGGGAACAATATTTCAATGTTGTCCTCCTGAACCTGTGTTTGCAGCGCAGTGAGATGAGACGTTTGCTGCTGTAGCTGCTTCTCTGTCCTGCCAGAATGTTATGGAGAGGATGGTTGGTATTGTTGTATTATCGACTTAATCTTTGCAAGATTAATGATAATGTGTATAATAAACGTAATTACCTAACAGGAACCAGGAAGTGGATAAGACTTCCATTAAACAACTTGAGATGGTCTACAGGAGGGCTTGGTCTGCCATCCCCATTTATTTTCCTTTGATTAAGTACTCACCTCTCCTCCCACAGGACCAACAGGAAAACCTAACAAGCATTATTAATTTAATTTAAGTAGTGTAAATTCTACAATTTGGAATTTGCTCTCGTTGATAAGTGGGCACTAGTCCTCATGGAGGACAACATTGAAATATTTCATTCATTAATATGATCAGTCTCATATCAGAAGCTGTGACTTCTTGATTAAATAGATCTATGTAGAAATTTTACTTTGTGATTTCTGGGTTATCCAATTAGCCTCACACCAGTCAAAGTATGAAGACCAGAGAAGAGCCT